CCTGGAATGCGAAGTCAGGTGAGCCTTAGGAAGCATCACTAGGAACAAAGCTAATGGAGGTCATGAAATTCCAGTTGAGCTATTTCAAATCCTAAAAGATGCTGTGGAAGTGCTGCACTCAACATGCCAGCAAATTTGGAAAACTCAGCAGTGGCCACAGGACTGGACAAGGTCAGTTTTCATTCCAATCCCATAGAAAGGCAATGCCAAAGAATGTTCAAACTACCACACAATTGCACTCATCTCACACGCTAGCAAAGTAACGCTCAAAATTCTCCAAGCCAGCCTTCAACAGTATGTGAATCATGAAATTTCAGGTGTTCAAGCTGGATATAGAAAAGGCAGAGGAACCAGAGATCAAATTGTCAACATCCATTGGATCACTAAAAAAGCAAGAGCTCCATAAAAACATCTCCCTCTACTTTACTGACTATGCCAAAGCCTTTGACTGTGTGGATCACAACAAACTTTGGAAAAGTCTTCAAGAGATGGGAATACCAGACCACCTGACTCTTGAGAAATCTGTATGCAGGTCAAGAAGCAACAGTCAGAACTGGATATGGAACAATGACTGGTTCCAAATAGGGAAAGGAGTATGTCAAGGCTGTATATTGTCACCCTGCTTATTTAACTTATATGCAGAGTACATCATGAGAAATGCTGGACTGGATGAAGAACAAGTTGGAATCAAGATTGCCGGGAGAAATATCAATAACCTCAGATATGCAGATGACACCACACTAATGGCAGAAAGTGAAGAAGAACTTAAGAGCCTCTTGATGAAAGTGAAAGAGGAGACTGAAAAAAATTGGCTTAAAACTCAACATTCAGAAAACTAAGATCATGACATGTGGTCCTATCACTTCATGGCAAATAGATGGGTAAACAGTGAGACGCTGGTTTTGGGTTCCAAAATCACTGCAGGTGGTGACTGCAGCCATGAAATTAAAAGACACTTGCTCCTTGGAAGAAAAGTTATGACCAACCTAGACAGCATATTAAAAAGCAGAGACATTACTTTGACAACAAAGGTCTGTGTAGTCAAAGCTATGGTTTTTCCAGCAGTCATGTATGGATGTGAGAGTTGGACTATAAAGAAAGCTGAGCACCAAGGAATTGATGTTTTTGAACTGTGGTGTTGAAGACTCCTGAGAGTCCCTCGGACAGCAAGGAGATCCACCCAGTCCATACTAAGGAAATCAGTCCTGAATATTCATTGGAAGGACTGATGCCGAAGCTGAAACTCCAATACTTTGGCCACCTGATGTTAAGAACTGACTCCCTGGAAAAGACCCTGATGCTGGGAAAGACTGAAGGCGGGAGGAGAAGGGGATGACAAAGGATGAGATGGTTGGATGGCATCACCGACTCGATGGACATGAGTCTAAGCAAACTCCGGTAACTGGTGATGGACAGGGAGGCCTGTTGTGCTGCAGTCCACAGGTCGTACACGACTGAGCAACTAAACTGAACTGAACGTGTAATCCTTTTATCTAGATAAGCAGTCTTTACACATCAGTCCACGAATAGGCTTTTAGGGATGGTTCATAAACATCCTGAAATTATATGCAAATTGGCTCTCTATATGATGTTCTTGCAAGCTCAATGTCCAACTCTTTGCAACCTTATGGACTGCGCCCTGCCAGGTTCCTCTGTTCATGGGATTTTTACACACAAGTATACTGGAGTGGGTTGCCACTTCCTCCTCCAGGGGATCTTTCCGACCCAAGGATAGAACCCACATCTCCTGCATTGCAGGTGGATTCTTTACCTCTGAGCCACTTGGAAAGACACGGATAAAGATGTGGTGTAGACACACACACCATGGAATATTACTCAGCCATAAAAAGGAACGAAATAATGCCACGTGCAGCAACATGGATGGACCTAGAAATTATCATACTGAAGTAAGCCAGCTAAAAACAAATATGATATTGCTTATATATGGAATCTACAAAAATGATACAAACAGAAACAGAAATAGACTCACAGACACAGGAAACAAACTTAAGGGTTAGGAAGGGGAAATGTGGAGGGGGGGGCATAAATTAGGAGTTTGTGATTAACATATACACAGTACTACTATATACAAGAGATAACCAACCAAGAACTTACTATATACATACATTTAAAAAGCATTCCTGATAGATTACATAAAAGGACAATTTTTTTTTAAAAGCATTTATTGATCTGATTGCTCCCAGAGGTGGAAATACTCTACAACTCAGAAATCATATTAGTGTTTAGTACCAGAAACTGTAAGAAAACACTTCAATTCAAACCCAACATTTCTACAGCTTTGCTTTCTTTATGGCTCTATTCTTCAAGACTTCCTCACTGGCCATCAAGAATGTTCCCACTCTTCTGATTCTGCATGAATGTATGCAAACTTTCTTTGCACTTTCAAGTGTGGACTAAAAAATACAGCCACACCCTGAAAGGAGAGAGTTATTTGGTGGGAATGTTTTGGACTCCCAGCCCAGAAGACAGCATCTCAGTAGCTGAGAAAACTGCTCCAAAGAGGCAGAAGGGAAACTCAGGCTATACACAAGTTTGCAACAAAGGGATCAGGCAGTCTGAACATCAAAGACCAGGTATCACTGAATTCACTTCTTTCATATGCACCTCAGCTATCTGGAACCAATCCTGTTTCCTCATTCACTTTGTTTCTTACAGTTCCTGTTTATTAAAAACGCAGGAGATATTTTCTTCACACATTTCGTGTCCAACTCTCTGCTATTCCCCAGTCCATGGAATTCTCCAAGCCAGAATACTGGAGTGGGTAGCCTTTCCCTTCTCCAGGGAATCTTCCCAACCAAGGGATGGAACCCTGGTCTCCCGCATTACAGGCAGATTCTTTACCAGCTGAGTCACCAGGAAAGCTCAAAAATACTGGAGTGGGTAGCCTAGCCCTTCTCCAGGGGATCTTCCCGACCCGCGAATCCAACTCGGGTCTCCCGCATTGCAGGCAGATTCTTTACCAGCAGAGCTACCAAGGAAGCCGGCATTTCACACAAGTGTAATCATAAACCCTGCCTGGAGGAATAAAAAAAAAAAAAGGTTAAGAACCGTTGCTCTAAGAACGTTCCTTTTCTGAAGCAATTTTTGCTAATTAGTAACGGATCTAATTCCCATAGCGACCTATTAACTGTAAGGCAAGGAGCGTTTAAATTGCTTTGTAGAGCTTTATTCATTCTCTCATAGCACTGTTTGGAGACGGTAATGGCAACCCGCTCCAGTGTTCTTGCCTGAAGAATCCCAGGGACGCAGGAGCCTGGTGCGCTGCCGTCTATTGGGTCTGCTGGTAAAGAATCCGCCTGCAATGCAGGAGACCCTATTTCGATTCCTGGGTCGGGAAAATCTGCTGGAGAAGGGAGACGACCCACTCCAGTATTCCTGGGCTTCCCTTGTGGCTCAGCTGGTAAAGAATCCGCCTGCAATGCAGGAGACCTGGGTTCGATCCCTGGCTTGGGAAAGGCTACACACTCCAGTATTCTGGCCTGGAGAGTTCCACGGACTGTACCGTCCAAGGGGTCGCAAAAAGTTGGACACGACTGAGCGACTTTCACTCCATTACTGTAAGTGGTTATCTTGAGATGCTATGCTGCAGTACTCAAGCAAAAGCACACGAAAACACATCCTGACCCTGGACATTCGTATTCGTCCCACAGTTTAAAAAACGCCTTTGCAGACTTCATCTTCGTTGATACCGACTATATATGCAAAATGGCAAGTGACTTCGCCTCTATGGCACCCACCGCAGAAAGGAAATACAGCTGGCCACGGAACAGTGGACGGTCCGCTTCTCTCGTCCACGCCCGCGACCTTCCCTCCCGGGCTCCGTGAGTCCCAGACCTTCCGAGCATCCGCGGCCGGCGCGTCGCAGGCAAGTGGCCGGCCCACGGGGCAGCTCTCTTCCACGGCTGAGGCACCGAGCTCCTGACGTGACGCTACCCGAGTTCACTCAAGCCTCCGGAGGTCACGACCGCTCCCTTCTCCGCCCTCCAGCACCAGATCCCGACACCACGAGCGCCCGCCATGCTCCCCTACAGACTCAGCTCTCCCACGGGCCTCCGGAACCCCGGCCGCGCCCACAACTACCAGCCAACCGCGCGCGACGGCCTCCAACGCGGACCGCGTCCCACACGGGGCAGAGGCGCATAAGCCCCGCCCCCGGTGCCGACTTCCGCCGGAGCCAGAGCATAGGACGTGCGCTTGCGCGCGCATGCGTGAAACGAGAGACGCGCCTTCGTCGACGGTTTTTTCAAAGCAGCTGGGTGCATGCGCAGCGAGAGGCCCGGCCGCCGCCGTGGGTGGTGCTGCCAACCGACGCTCCGGCGCGCTTGCGCAGTAGCTGGACGCGGGCGTTTCTTTCCTCCCTTTTTTTTTTCCGAATTGGTCGTGAGGGCTCGATTCGAGTTACAAAATGGCGGCCTGAGGTGTGTGGGGCGCTGTTCTCTTAGCCGTCTCCCACTGACCAGACGGCTTACCTCCCCTCACTGCTCAACGCAGAGAAACGAGACCCTCCCCGAAGGACATGGTGTTTGAGACTCAGGGGTTGCCGATCACCGAATCCTTCGAGGCTCTCAGCACACCAGAAACGACCGCGCGCCGCTTCAGACCCGAGTGCCGCGGCCGCGACCTCGCACCTGCTCTCCGCTGGGCACCCCGGCTTCGCCGCGCTCACATCCCAGCAAGGGCCGCCGCAGCCACCGGAGAGGTGAGGGGCGGGCTGACTGGGCGGCACGGAAGGGGCGGGCGCCGGGTAAAGAAGGAAGCCGGGTCCCGGGTGCCGGACCCGGGCCTGAAACGGGGAGCCCGAGGAGGGTGGAGCGGGGTGCGGGGCGCCGGCTGGGGACGGGGCGCTTGAGGGAGCGGAGAAGGGTGGGGCGTGGTGTCAGCCGCGACGCAACCCGGCGGGGTGTTTGTGAGGCCGGGCTCGGGGCCGGCCTGTCGGGGCTGCGGTGTCCGAGTTGGGGAAGGCTGGGTCCGGGCGCGGGGCCCCCGCGGCCCCGGCGGAGGTGGGAGCCGGAGAGGGAAGGGTCCGCCCTGGCTAGGCGTCCTCGGTGTATCTCCTCGCGCTCCTTCCGGTACTCGTCTCTCTCCGCTCCCTGTACTGCAGCTACAGCCCGCTCATCACTTGTCTCTTTCGATCAAGAGCAATGTTCGAGGATTTCGTTTTCCTCTAGCGTTTCAGTCTCCGAGGGCCGGCCCCATGTTCCATTTTTCCTCGGGGGACCACGCTGCCAAGTATGTTCAGTCTGTTTCCGTCTTAGAGTAAATCGACGTGGACTGAAGTTACACTCCAAGGTCGGGGCAGCCCCCGGTGGCAGAGATCACAGAATTCCCTGTATCCGGCACAAATAGTTTCCCCCAATTCCCGAAAGCTTTCGATTTTCCTATCTCAAGGTATGCTTCATACCTAGTAATCATTTCATGATTTGGTGCTTCTAAACCACAAGCCCACCTTTTTTTTTACGTTCTTAGTTCTTAACACTTAAAGACTAGGTGCTAGGCTTTGTTCTAAGTACTTTACCGGCACTTTTTTCCTTTTTCAAAGAGATGTTACTGTCTGAAGTACCATGCTTTGAAATAAAATATGGATTTGGTAAAGTATTTTTTAGAGCCCGATTCATAATTCAAGTTAATTTTGTTTTTCCCCACTACAGCCTTTAAGTTAGGGAGGGAAAGTGTTTTAGAGCCTTTGTTTCTGACAGAACTTTTCTCTTTGATAAGATATATTGAGTCCTTCCTCTGTTCCAGGCACTGTTCTAAGCTAAGCTTTTTGTTTATCTCATTTAAATTTCACAGCACTTCCCTGTTGTGAAGTAAAGAAATTGAGGCACAAAAATGAAATGATTTGCCAAAGGTCTTCAACAACAACATGGCAAAACTGGATGCTAGCATTTTGTAGTATTTTTCTCAAACTTGCAGTGTCCCCGATCTCTGATTCTAGACCATCTATCATGTGGAGGGGGGCGGGTTTTGAGGTACCTGAGTGAGTGAAACAAAGATACCTGCCCTCTGGTTATTCATTGATTTGATAAAAATGGAGATTGGATAAATATGGAATAGGAAGTGAATTGGTATATTAATTTAGGTTATTTGACTATGCCAGTTGTCTTTAGTTGTGGCTGTGGGTTAGGTGTTACAGTTTTAACAGTTAATCAAGTTTTTGCACTTTCAGCTCCACTCCTTTTTGCCTGTTAATAACTAGTTAGGTTACTAAGTTAATAGCAAAAAAAGGACTGTTTCAGTCTCTCCTCTCTTCTGCCCTCTGGTGGAGGTGTTAGTTACTGAATGGGAAATGGCCCAAAAGAAGCAACACAGGGGTCTGGCCTCTGAGCAGTTCAAGTTGACTAAGAATTTATGCGGAAGGGCACCTTGTTTGTTTTCTGAATGACAAGATTAATAGCAAAACTTGACCAAGTGTTTGGGACGGAGGCATTAAGAAAGATTTGCAAGTAATGACAAAATTATGTTAATTCTCACTATGTTTTAGAATCTGGGACTTTAAAGCCATTTATTCTGTAATCAGAAAAAAAGCACTTGGTAAAAGAAAAATTCAGAGATTATTAGGAGCTTATTAAAAGCTGAAAATTGCTGTGTGATTATCCTACCAGGGGATAGGATTTTGGAGGACTTTGGAACACTGGCTTTGAATTTTATCTTACAGATCTTACTGTGCCCAGTGAGTGATGTATAAGTTTGTGTCTTAATGACCATGAGCTTCTAGAAACTTCTCTGGTGGGTTCTGGTCTTGAGGGCAAATAAGAGTGGGGAAGGACTAGGACGGAAGCTAGGCTGGTTTTCAGGAACCCTGGCTAGTGTTCCACGCTAATTGGTAGATCTCTGCGAAAGGTAAGGAGGTATGTGACCTATTTAATTGGTAAGTTAGGGAAGAGCCAAGCACAGCGCTCACTGTGGCGCTCTCCATTGATTGTTTCTGTTTTTAATAGCAACAGATACACATCTTAGGGTCAGAAAATAAATTGGGAATTTTAAGGGATGACTACATGGAGTCAGACACAACTTAGCAACTAAACAACAACAAGCCTTGAATAGAAGTTGAGCTGATGTTTTTCTTTTTTTGCGATTTTTTTGTTTGTTTTAAATTTATTTTTTAATTGGATGCCAATTGCTTTACAATGTTATGTTGGTTTCTGCTGCTGATGGCTTGTTTTTGAAGAATTAAGAATTCTAAGAATGTTATCATTCATGTTAATCATATTTTGAACTATCTTCTTCAATGTATGTTGGGATTATGTCACAATAAACCCATGGTAAGTTGAAAATACTGTAAGTCGAAAATGCATTTAGTACGTCAAACCTACTGAAGATCATAGCCCAGCTTACCTTAAAAGTGCTCAGACATTAGCCTACAGTTGGGCAGAATCAACTGACACAAAGACTGTTTTATAGTAGTGTTGAGTATCTAATATAATTTTTTGAATACTATACAGAAAATGAAAACCAGAATAGTTATATGGGTACAGAATGGTTGTAAGTGTATCCTTGATTGTGGTGGCTTGGCTGGCAGGCTGGGAGCTGTGGCTTGTTGCCACTACCCAGGATCACAGGAGAATATCATACCTCATATTGCTGGCCTGAGAAAAAGTCAAAATCTAAAGGAAGGTTTCTACTTAACGAGTGTTGCTTTCCCACCATCGTAAACTTGAAAACTTGCAAGATGAACCCTTGAAGTCAGAGACCATCTTGTGAACGTAATGCCTCGTTCACATTCTTAACTAAGGTCAAACTTTACTAAATATCCTTAAGAGAATTTTAAATATTAAAAATGTCTTGCCTATAGCCAGGCTATGTATTAATGTAATTTGCATGGAGTTAATTGAGCATTTGTTGATTATTAGGCAGTTCTGTAGATTTCTGATTTTTAAAAAAATCAGTGTTTCATTAGCATTTTTTTCCCAAATGGAATTGTTTTATTGTTTTTCACTGTGTCTTAGAAGACTTCGCTGCCTTCTCCTGTAATTTTTGTTGGATTTGTGACACTGGGAACCTAACAGTGTTATACCATTCTCATTAAAGAAGTGCCCACTGGTATCAGGGATGTTTTTATCTCATTTCATGCTAAAGTAAATTTTTAAAATTCGTTGTAAGAGTTAAATCATGTTTTGGAAAAGCAAACTTATTACTGGCTGCCTTGGTGGCTCATTGGTAAAGAACCCGCTTGCCAGTGCCGGAGACTTGGGTTTGACGTTTAGGTTGGGATCCTCTAGAGAAGGAAATGGCAACCCTCTCCTGTATTCTTGTCTGGGAAATCCCATGGACAGAGGAACCTGGCAGGCTATTGTCCAAAAGGTTGCAAAGAGTTGGACACTACTGAGCGACTTAACAACAACAAAAGCTTAGTACTTCTCATCTTTTTACCTTTAGGTTCAAAAAAATGGCCAAAAGAATCGCCGAGAAGGAATTGACAGATAGGAACTGGGATCAAGAAGACGAAGCAGAAGAGGTAAAAGGTGCTTTCCCTAAGAATGATTTCCTGCTACTTCCAAATTTAAATTTGTTTTGTGATTCCTCGTGAAAACTGTGGTAAAAATAAAAGGCCTTTTTCAGAGCATCCTGAACTGGAAATAATATGGTTTCTTATGATCTATGCTAAGTATAGAAATTGATGGGTGTGCTTTTCCATTAGCAACTGTTCCTTCAGTACTCTACGCCTTTGTAGAATCATCTTCCTCCTGAATTTCATATAGCATTTCATTGAGCACGCTCAGCCCATGGTTTTAGTCCAGATTGAAGGCTGAGTAAATGATCTAGTTATAAACTAAACTTGAAAAGTGTTTTACCACCACTGTCTTAGTTTGCCATACTCAACAGTTTTAGATTTTAGAAGATTGAGTTTGCCTCCCCTTACTGTACTGCTTCTAAGAGTCCTGTTTTATTTCATATTGAAGATCTGAGACACTCTCCACCCCCAGCTGGGTTAACAGGAATAGAATTTAGATGGCCTGGTTTCTTTCCTAAGAAAATAAAAATGGTCTTCTCTGAGGAAACCTTTTAATTTTTCTCTTAAAAAGAATAAAACACAGCTGCATTTCTGAAATGCCTCATCAGCAGTTTGATACTCCCAGGCCAGTTCACTGAGCAAGCCTGAACCAAGTTAGCCTTTCAAGTTAAAAGAAGTGTGCCAAGTTAAAAAATATATATTTTAAATAGTTTGCAAAAGCATTTCCAAGATAATTCTTCGACTGCTATTTTTTTTCTTTCTCAATCTATTTTCTAATACTAATATTTTTCCTTTACAAATATGTGTACTAATATTTTTAAGGAAACCAAAGTCACAAGTATGGGCTTATAAAGAAGTGTTTTTAACAACTCTGACTGACTTGGTACTTTTTAAGCATGTCTTTGGTAACTCAGTTTTTTCCATGTTTTAGGCTACAGTCATGTTCCAAGCCTATCACATAATGATTTGTTCTGACATTAAAATATTTCAGAAATGAAAGAACTTGCATTTGGATATAGATTCTAATGAAACGTGTGTGGAAGGACATTACATTTGAGTCAGGCGTAGTCAGATGATCCCTTCTGTGGGTACAGAGATTCCACAGTTTAACATTATGTGAAATAAGTATAGAAGAGAACTTTTTATAGCAAGTATTCTATGCCATTTCTCCAAGGTAAAAGAAAGGGTGAAGTAAAGCCAAACATTTTCAGCAAATTTCCAACAGGTCACTTAGAGTCCCAGGTCCCTCAGAGGTCTTCTGGATCATGGGCAAATGGGCAGAGCTGTTCTTTACAATAATGTGTATTATGAACTTAATTTTTGAAAACTATAGTAGTAAGATGCTAGCTTTGGCATCTGGGTAATGTCTTTGAATATATTTGAAATATTTGAAGAATTGATCATGAACAGTTTTGTGCCAAGGTTTTAATGGTCTTAGTCTTCTTAGAAAGTTGATGTATACAGTCTTCTCTCTGAATTGTGGTTCAGAGTCTGGATTTGTAGTTTCTGAAACATTTCCGATTCACCTGACTAGCAGTGAAATTCATAAGACAGGTAAGAGACATAAACTTTAGTTTAATATATGCTCTCCATAATTCATGTTATCAGTATTAACAGTACTTAGAACCCAGATGTTATTGATCAGTTTGTCTTGGTCTAGCTTTTTAGAAATTCAGCATTTTACCTTTTTGCCCTTTTCTTATTGCTCTTTAATTTGTATACTCCTGCAGGTGGGAACATTTTCGGTGGCCAGTGAGGAGGTCTTGAAGAATAGAGCCATAAAGAAAGCAAAGCGTAGAAATGTTGGATTCGAAGTGAGTGTTTCCTTACAGCTTCTGGTTCTAAACACTAATTTGATTTCTGAGTTGTAGAGTATTTCCACCTCTGGGAGCAATCAGATCAATAAATGCTTTTTTTTTTTAAAATATCTTTTATGTAATCTATCAAGAATGCCTTTTAAAAATATATAATGGTTTATCATTGGAGAAGGAAATGGCAACCCACTCCAGAATTCTTGCCTGGAGAATTCCATGGACAGGGGAGCCTGATGGGCTACAGTCCATGGGGTCACAAAGAGTCAGCGAGACAGAGCACACAGCACATCATCATCTTTATCCGTTCATCTGTCAGTGGACATTTTGGTTGCTTCCATGTGTTGACTATTGTAAATAGTGCTGCAGTGAATTTTGGGGTGCATGTATCTTTAAATTATAATTTTGTCTGGATAAATGCCCAGGAATGGGATCACTAAATTGTATGGTAGTTCTGTGTTTTTTTTGTTTGTTTTCTTTTTTTTTTTTTTAAGGAACATTCATACTTTTCTCCTTTAGTGGCTGTACCCATTTACATTCCTGCCAGCAGTGTAGGAAGGCACGTTTTTCTCCATGTCTTCTCCAGCATTTAGTAATTGTAGACTTTTTGATGGTAGCCATTCTGACCTATGTGAAGTGATACCTCATCATAGTTTTGATTTGTGTTGTTGTAATAATTAGTGATGTTGAACATTTTTTTACATGCCTGTTGATCATCTGTATATCTTCTTTGGGGCGATGTCTGTTTAGACCTTTTGTCCATTTTTTGATTGAGTTCTTAATTGAGTTCTTAACTCATTTTTAATTGAGTTCTTAAAGCATTTTAAAATGCTTTTTAAAATGCCTAGTTCACTTGTGCATACCCTTGGTGAAGACCATGGGAGATATAAAAGATAATAAATATGACATCTGTACCTTAAAGGGAGCTTATCCAGTTGGGGAAATAAGAGGTAGATGTAGACAAATTCAAGTTGTGTTATAGTTGAAGTGGAAAAATGAATATAGTAATTGGAAAGCAAGGGAAGTGGGTGTTGGGGTAAGACAGGAAAATGTAAGATATTCTCAAAGTCTTACCTGTTTCCTAGGATTGAGGTGTGGGTGGGGTAATACGTTTGAGAATAATAGAAGCGTTTCCCATTTTGGTGTTCCTTCTAGTGTTTATTGTTGTTCAGTTGCTCAGTTGCATACGACTCTGCGATCCCATGGACTGCAGCATACCAGACTTCTCTGTCCTTCCCCATCTTCCAGAGCTTGCTCAAACTTATGTCCATTGAGTCGGTGATGCCATCCAACCATCTCGTCCTCTGTCATCCCCTTCTCCTCCTGCCTTCAATCTTTCCCAGCATCGGGGTCTTCGTATCAGGTGGCCAGAGTATTGGAGCTTCAACTTCAGCATCAGTCCTTCTAATGAATATTCAGAATTGATTTCCTTTACGATTGACTGGTTTGATCTCCTTGCAATCCAAGAGACTGTCAAGAGTCTTCTCTAACTCCACAGTTCAGAAGCATCGATTCTTTGGCTTTCAGCCTTCTTTATAGTCCAACTCTCACATCCATACATGACTACTGGAAAAACCATAGCTGTGACTAGACATACCTTTGTTGGCAAAGTAATGTCTCTGTTTTTTAATATGCTGTCTAGGTTTGTCATAGCTGTTTCCTGGAAAAATGTTTCATTCTTGTGTTCAAAAAGATAAAATATGAGTTAAAATTCATGACCTGGAATCATGTCTCCATATTCAGCAGTCACTCCATGTGTAACAGCGCTTCACCCCTCAGATATGTCCCAGACCCGTGAGCACTGTCTTGGTGACCTGGGCATCTCTTGTCAGGCAGGAGAGGCTTGTTTGAACAGTCTGGGTGGCATCCTTGGAATAAATTTACTTGGCTGCATGTTCTGTGGTGGCTTTGTTCAATTTTTCTTTGAGTTCTTTTCTGGCCTAATGTCATTCTTAAGACTGGTGACTGGTTGGATGTAGGTCTTGAGCCAAGTAATAGTTGATAGCTCTTTCATGGAGAAAATATAGGGGGGACGGGACTTCATGAGGAAGTTATTGATTTTGTCTTAGGAAAAGTATTTCAGGGCCTGTGGTACAACCACATGGAGTTCTCTAGGAGACTGCTAGGTATACTGGTTGGCCACTCAGAACAGGAATTGGGAGATGGGTGCAGCTCTGTTAAGTTTCCCGTCCAGGAGGTCAAAGCCATGGGGGCTACTGGCAAGAGGCCTGAGAGCGCCTGGGAAGATAGGCTCGAGGAGGGGCAGGCCAGCTGTTGTGTACGAGTGACAGTGAAGAGGTAGAAACAGTGCAGACCACAGTGGAAAGAGCAGCTTTCGAATTTCATGAAGCGTGCCAGACATTCCCAAAGCATCAGAGTTCTGTACATTGAACACAGGTTGAAAGCTCCAGAAGTTCGTAGGAAATTGTAAGTAGTGGGTAAAATACTTTTAGTGAACCTAACTTGATGTTTCTATAACTTCCTTAGGGCACTTGGTCTTTGAATAGTATATGAAAAGTCTTTCATTTGGGGTTTAGTTGTGTTGAGAGTGTTTTATTTATAGTTCTGTAGCTGCTGGTGAGTCCATAAATTTATTTGAATTAGTCTTTTTAACCTTTTATATCATAAATAGGTTTTAAAAAATTATTTCATTCTGATTCCGTCTATCCTTCCTGTTATAGGAAGGCAGTTTCAGATTGCAAATCTCTCATCGTGAGTAAAATCCATGTTGTCTCTGCTTGTTCTGGCAGTTTCCTTTCATGCTGGTTGCATAAGGGTTGTGGGTACTATTTAGCCAAGAGAATACTGCCTTTTGCTTGCTTATTTGGAAACAAAAAGAGTTATCTAGTGTGTGCTCTGTCTTTATTTTCCAGTCTGATGGTGGAGGCGCCTTTAAAGGATTTAAAGGTTTGGTTGCATCTTCTGGAGGAGGAGGGTTTTCTGGATTTGGTAATGGTGCTGGAGGGAAGCCTCTGGAAGGACTGTCGAATGGAAACAGCATAACTAGTGCCCCTTCCTTCTCCAGCACGAGGGCAGCAACTGAGACCAAGGCCACCTTCGGTGAGTAGGTACTTCTTCCCCGTCTTATCTGTGGAAGGATAATCTATAAAAACAAATTTTGCAATTTGAGGGGTGGGGCGCTTTTTTCTGGGTTCTGCGGCTGTAGGAGCAAGAACATGGTGATGATGAAAGGGACGAAAATTAGGGAGCTTTTGGCTAATTACAGAGTGAGTAGAGCACGGGCCAAAACAGCCTGGGTTCTGTTCTCAGTTCTGCCAGTTACCAGCTCTGTGTGACCTTGGTAAAGTTCCTTAACCTTTGAGCTTCCAAATCTTCCTTCAGCTGTGAAATGAATATGACCTCAGAATTGACCTAAGGATCAAAAGAGAAAAAGAAGCTCTTAGTGGACCCTAGGTGAAGGCCTCCCATCCCTCCACCTCATTCATTGTAATGTACCAAGAATTTCCTCTGTGCCACACACCTACATTCCCAGGCGTGGTTTATTTTGCCCAGGACATGTTGATTGCCTCATCCTACTTTGAGGAAATTACTCAAGAATCTTGGAATTAGCGACAGAGAATGGACTTGTGGGTTAAAATCTTTGATTCTTGGAAGTGATCCTGACTCATTGGATCATACTTAGCAAATTATTCTAAGAGTGTATACTGTTTCATTTAAATTAGGCAGTGTTTAGTGTGATTAAAATAAGCACTTCCTGTTAAGATTTTAACTGCATTAATATATGTTCCTACAGTCTTGGGGGTTAAGTTTTATACTAACTATTTTGACAGTTTAGGTGAAATGGGCATCCTTTTGAAGGAAAAGATTATTTTAAAATGACAGGTTTAATGCAAGCATGTGAAAAAATATGTGTGTGTGTGTGTATATATGTATATATATATTCATGTATACATGTAAAATGTTTTAGTTGATCTTTGTAATAACTAGTTTTTGAATACTATATGTACGCATCTTGAACTATAACAAAAATGGGATACGATAAAAGAAAATGTGAAGGCAGAGCAGTACGAAAATCTGAATGGCTTAACTTAATCAGCTTCTGAATAAATTCTTAAACGTGTAATTTCCTATAGGATCAACTGCTATGAACGGCCCTACCTCCTTGGTCGATAAAAAGATTTCAACCCCTAAAACTACCGGTGACAGTCAGCAGCCTCCCTCCTCTGGTGCTGCCCGCCATGGGAACGCCTATCACAAGCAGCTGGCGGCCTTAAACCGCTCTGTGCGGGATTGGATCGTGAAGCATGTGGACACAAACCCGCTCTGCGACCTCACGCCGATCTTCAAAGACTACGAGAAGTACTTGGCAAGCATCGAACAGCAACACGGGAGCAGCGGCAACAGTGATTCCGAAAGTGAAGCCAGCAAAATATCAGTTGACGCACAGCCTCCTTCTCTATTTGGTTCAACAAAATTACAACCAGAGTCACCATTTTTGTTTCATGTCAACAAAACTGAGGATACGTCTGGACAGAAGGTGGAAGCTGTGTCTGAAAAGAGCAAGGACCCATCACTAGGAGCCACAAGTGCCTCGTTTAATTTTGGCAAGAAAATTGATAGTTCTGTTTTGGGCTCCTTAAATTCGGGCCCCTTGACTGGATTTTCATTTTCTTCTGGAAATTCCAGTTTATTTGGCAAAGATACTACCCAGAGTAAACCGGTTTCTTCACCATTTTCCACTAAAACATCGGAGAGCCAAGCAGAAAGTGGCGGCAACGAATGCAAAGGTAAACACAGTTCAGTGCTTGAGGTCTGTCTTAGGTTCATGTGAGTTTTGTGTTTAGTGGGAAAAGTGTAGTCTTGTGAGTAAGATGGGTCTGGATTCATGTCCAGACTCCATTAGTGCCTAGATGCGTGTGTGATCCTGGGTAGAGCTGGTTAATTTCTCTGATTGCTTATTCATAAAATGGAGTAAGACCTATTTTATAGGATTATTAGAAGGATTATGAATATAAAAATAATAGAAAAACATCTGGCACAGGAACTTTGAAAACCCATCAAACACATGCCTTTACATTAAGAAAAAAAAACTAAGATTTTTTGAAAATTTATTTCATTGAAAAAAAAACTCTTCATGGATGTTCACTGAATTGTTTTAAGAGATTTGCTTATAAATTCACATAGCAAAACATTACTATAAATAAAATAGGTAGACTTCATAGACATGAACTTGGACGAACTCCAGGAGATGGTGAGGGACAGGAAGGCCTGGCGTGCTTCAGTCTGTGAGGTGGCAAAGGGTTGGATGTGATTTGGAGACTGAAAGACAGCGGCAGCAACAGACTTCATAACCTTGTGGAACAAACTGACATGTCTGGGTTGTAGCCGACTTTCTACGAGTGTTCGTGGTCTGTCTTGTTAGTGCCCCAAACCAGGCTGTCATCCCAGCCCCTCCACTCTCTCCATTGTACTTCAGTCAGTTCAGTTGCATCCGACTCTTTGCAACCCACAGACTGCAGCACGCCAGGCAGGCTTCCCTGTCCATCACCAACTGCTGGAGTTTACTCAAACTCAGTTTCATTAAGCTGGTGATGCCATTCAGCCAATTCATCCTCTGTCCCCCTTCTCCTCCCACCTTCAGTCTTTCCCAGCATCAGGGTCTTTTCAGATGAATCAGTTCCCATCAGGTGGCCAAAGTATTGGAGCTTCAGCTTCAGCATCAGTCCTTCCAATGAATATTCAGGACTGATTTCCTTTAGCATGAACTGGTTGGATCGCCTTGCAGTCCAAAGGACTCTTAAGAGTCTTCTCCAACACCACAGTTCAAAAGCATCAATTCTTCGGCGCTCAGCTTTATTTATAGTCCAACTCTCACATCCATACATGACCACTGGAAAAACCGTAGCTTTAACTAGACAGACCTTTGCTGGCAAAGTAATGTCTCTGCTTTTTAATATGCTGTCTGAGTTGGTCATAACTTTTCTTCCAAGAAGTATGTGTCTTTTAAGTTTATGACTGCAGTCACCACCTGCAGTGATTTTGGAACCCAAGAAAATAAAGTCTGTCACTATTTTCACTGTTTCCTCATCTATTTGCCATGAAGTGATGGGACCGGATGCCATGATCTTAGTTTTCTGAATGTTGAGCTTTAAGCCAACTTTTTTGCTCTCCTTTTTCACGTTCATCAAGAGGCTCTTTAATTCTTCGCTTTCTGCCATAAGGGTGGTGTCACCTGCCTATCTGAGGTTATTGATATTTCTCCCAGCAATCTTGATTCCAGCTTGTGCATCATCCAGTGCAGCATTTCTCATGATGTACTCTGCATATAACTTAAATAAGCAGAGTGACAATATACAGCCTTGACATTCTCCTTTCCCGGTTTGGGACCAGTCTGTTGTTCCATGTCCAGTTCTGACTCTTGTTCTTGACCTGCATGCTGGTTTCTCAGGAGGTAGGTCAAGTGGTCTGGTATTCCCATCTTTTTAAGAATTTTCCACAGTCTGTTTTGATCCACACAGTCAAAGGCTTTGGTGTAGTCAGTAAAGCTGGAGTAGATGTTTTTCTGGAACTCTCTTGCTTTTTCGATGATCCAACTGATCTTGGCAGTTTGACCTCTGGTTCCTCTGCCTTTTCTAAATCCAGCTTGAGCATCTCCAAATAGGGGTTGTGTCATCCCTCTTCACCCCATGGTGGTCAGGAACAAGTAGTGTCTGTATAGAGACTTACAAGCAGTTAAAAGTGCATTCCCCAGGTATTAGCATATTGATCTTTGAGAAAGAAAACTGCAGTTGCAGGTGGGCCGTAAATACTGTTTTTCTTCCTGGAGGGAAACTTCCTTCTGTTGCTTTGCCCTGCCTTCAGCTGTATCCTCAGTCAAGAGCCCTCCAGGGCAAAGCAGAGAATAAAGAGCTTCCCTTTGTCTTAAATAAGACAGAGAGAGAGTGTGTCACAGTCACAGGGACTCTGCTGTTTGTAGAAAGGCTGCTGAATTGAAATAGTCTCCATCTCAGCAGGGGACCCCTCCATAAAGCACTTATTCCTCACCCTGTGGTTATTACATGTTATGCACGAAAAGACTTGGAGAACTTGTTAGAATAACAGAATGCCCAGGGCCTAACTCAGGCATACCATCTTAAAATTTAAATCTTGCAACCTGAATTGTTTAAGCAGCAGAATTCTTTTTCTTAGTTGCTCATTACTGAGTGTTATAAAGTTGCTTTCTCTTTAAGGGGGTCGTAATTTGTGTCCACCAGTGACTTTACTCTCCCTTACGATTGGGGCATTGGGGTCAAGGATAGTGCTTTGGGCTCAGACCGGGAGGGCACCCCCTGTACCAGCATGTCCAGAGGCGTGGCAATGCAGACACAGCTTCAGTTACTTACACTTGGCTTGGGACTCATTTCTCTGACAACATGCCCTATAAAATGCTTGTTTTCTCCGTCTTCGGCCATTGCATTCCTTGGTTCTTTGGCATGATGCAGAAATGGTTACAGGAATATTTGGGGGTGAAATTTTACGTGCTAGAAGCCTGTGTGAGATTTTCCTTTTCCTGGGTAACCTGAGTATAACCGGGCACCTGAGTGTTGACTTTTTCTGTGTAACCTTGCCTGCACTCTGCATACAAGCATGGGCACTTTTGTTCTAAGACTTTCTACAAAAATCCAGCAAGTACCTCCTCACCTTGACCCCCCGACACAGTTAGATTGTGCTTTCAGTTTCTGTATCAGCTTACATGTAATTTTTAGGTTCAGGTGAGGGACAGGGGGGCAAACTTCTTTTATCGCATTTTCATGCTCTTGTTCTGAATCTTCTTGGTGGTGTTTTTACAAAAGGTGGAGATGAAGAAGAGAGTGACGAGCCACCGAAAGTAGTAGTTACTGAAGTAAAAGAAGACGATGCTTTTTACTCCAAAAAGTAAGTAGTAGTCACGGCAACCCACTTGATGAATTTAGTTTCAGAGACGTGGAAACAGGCCTCTGGCTGGAGCCCATGGGCAACATCGTCCCTGCAGAGTTTACCGGGCACCCCTCCTGGGGTCAGGCTGTGCCTGCTCCCAGAATTGGGACAAGGAAGAATTCTGGGCCTGTTTTTTAAAAATAATATGATGTAAAAATTTCCTGCTGGGCAAAGCCTGCTCTTTCATATTAGTTTAGCTCTTTCTGCTTTTCAGGTGCTTTAGAAACTCTTTTCTTGTCCTCATCTCTTACCTCATTGTTCTCTCCCTTTTTCTCCTTCCTTTCTTCCCCTCCTTTCCCTACAAAGATAGTCATCTAAGTCAGTGATTCTAGATTTGGCTTTACTTTACTCTATCTTCCCCCAGGGATGCAAACTGGTTTGGCATGTGGGTGAATTTTGTTTAATGAGAGTTGTTGCTTTCAGAAAAAGGCTGAAGGGAAATTTTTAGTTCTCAGTGAAATGAAATTAGTGCTTTTTAACAAAGATTTTACTGAAAAACATTTGTGCCCTTAAAGCCTCCCTTGAATATGTTTTTCTAATACAAAAATTTCAGACTTAGTAAGTCAGCAGTTTTCATAGTATAAATCACCAAATCCAGTGGGATTTCAAATGTTTATTTTTGAGAACTTTTAAAAAGAGACCAATTCCTTTTGCCTGATTTAAAATGTAATTACACAGATGCTGTAAGGGAATGACCCTGACTTAGGGGATTTTTTGCTTGTTTTGAATGAGGTTTTTTTGGTTTTTTTGTTTGTTTGTTTTGTTTTTTCCCCACTCCTCAAGGCTTGTGGGATCTTAATTTGCTGACCAGGGGTTGAACTCTGGCCCCAGCAGTGAAAGTGCCAAGTCCTAACCACTGGACCACAGAGACTCTAACCTAAGATTTTTTTTCTAATCATAGTGAATCAAAGGAACACGCAGTAGTTTTGACTTGTTTATTAATAACCTACGAAGATGAAAGAGTCCTGAAGAAAATTCAAAAATAAGAAATAGGAAAAAGGTGAGAGTGAGGGGCAGAGTGTTTGTCCTGTATGTTCCTGTTCTTTAAGCACCAGGAGCAGCTCTTGAGCTCAGGACTAATAATACATCAGGGAGGTGTAAGGTGCTTGGCAGTGATTTTTGACTGACCCGAGAAAGGATAGTTTCAGAAACCATTGTAAAGAATTGTATCAGGCCTGCTGTGTAATAGTGAGAAGAAGGGAGGGGCTGTAGACTGTCTAATCAGATTCTCTTACCTGCCTTGTGTAAGGCAGACTGATTTGGGTCAACAGAAGACTCTTCTGAGCGCCCTCTGCTGTGTTTACTAACTGGCTTCCACACAGGCATGAGCAGGGCCTGTTGGAGGATCGAGTGGCTTTCATGACAGGTCACCGAGGGTCATACTGATGATTTTTCTCCTTAGGTGCAAACTGTTTTACAAGAAAGAAAATGAATTTAAAGAGAAGGGTGTGGGCACTCTGCATTTAAAACCTACAGCGAATCAGAAGACGCAGCTGTTAGTGCGGGCAGACACCAATTTAGGTGAGTACCTTTTTCTTCAGGTGGCACAAAATAATCATAATTACATAGTACATTAAAGCTCTCTACTTTGCTGATTTTAGTCTTCAAGATTTTCAAGTATGTTGATGTGTTTTTTGGAATAGAATAGAGATTGTTCAGGCCAAATTCATCCTGTACTGATTCAGTACTTACAGATTTAGTTGAATGCTGGGGAAATAGTGCATAAGAAAACCTCGTTGTATTAAAAAGCTACTGCGAGGAAGTAACGAAGTGTTTTCATTTTCCTTTGTGCTAGAAATGTGACTAAGAAACTGTAGGTATATTGGACAGTTTAGTTAACTCTCAAGGGGAGTTAACCTTGTAAAGGAGTCCTTTTTATGTAGCAAAGAATCATTAACTCGTTGTTGTCCACTCTCCAGCTTTACCATTAGCAGTCCTCTGAAAAGAGGGGGTAGTGCCTGGGTGGGGCTTCTGAGGGGAAGTGATCGTGGGTGCCAGGTGACACCAGACTGTGTCCCTGAAACAGATTCCTGTGAAGTGCCTTTCCTGTGGGCTCGGCTGACCTGTGGTGCAGTCACAGCGTTCTCACTCTTGCCCATGAGCGTGCTGGCCCCTGTGACAGAGCCATTTCTCAGCTGACCACTCTGGGGAGAAGGCTTCCTCAGTGGGGCCGAGTCCACGTTTTGCCAGAGGCCCCACGGTCCTCTCTCAGAGACCCCGTTCTGTCAGGGAACCAGGCCCTTTTTATGACATTCCTTTGGCTCCGTTAAGTATGTGTTGCATCAGTGTTTAATGTTTAGCCTATTAAAGGTGTAGTTTCATGGAAGATAGTTTATTTTGATGCATTTTTTTCCCTTTGTTTAAATGCAGGCAACATACTGCTCAACATCCTGATTGCACCCAGCATGCCTTGCACCCGCACAGGGAAGAACAACGTGCTCATCGTCTGTGTTCCAAACCCGCCCATTGATGAAAAGAACGCCGCCACCCCGGTTCCCATGTTGATTCGGGTGAAAACAAGCGAGGACGCGGATGAGCTGCACAAAATTCTGCTGGAGAAGAAGGATGCCTGAGCATGCTCGGCTGAGGAGCTGTCGCCAAGCTGCTGCTTCTCCCAGCGCCCTGAGCTTAGTCAGTTTTCTTCTCTTCTTACTTTGACCTTCTAGGACTTAGAGATAACTTAAAACTTTTGTGAGGAAGATTAATATTAAAAGGCCAATAAAACCTTTAATGTTAAGTGTTAAGCAACTGCATTCTCCCTTAAGAACTGTCTAATGTGTAAAATACGTTTGAAAGAAAAATTTTGGAAGATTTTTAACGTTCATTTATTAAACTAACCACAAGTGATTTCTTAATGGACTAAAATCAGGGTATCGATTAGATTTCCCAAAGGCTTTTCTGATCCAGGGCTTGGGGTCTGCTGCCACCATCTGCACAGCTTCACGGCCGTTCGTCCTAGGGGAGCTTGCCTGAGGCGGCCTTCTGGCAGGCTTCGCTGGCTGGTGTCCGGGTGAGCCGTGCTGCCGCGCTGTGGCAGAGGTGTCCCTCTGTGCTTTGTTTTACCACGCTACTTTACAGCTGGGACGTTTGCCTTCAGCAGTGGGTCCTCAGCTGTTTCCGTGTGGACACTGGCCTTTAACCCCACAGGCTGCTCTACTAGGATTCCAGAGCTGCTGTTTCATTTTAAGAGGAAATGAATAGCTTGTTCTTTGGTTTCGTAGGTTCCTTCATGAGGTGCTCTTACTTCTGTATCCCCCTAGAGACAAAAGGGATGGGGGGTTGCCAGGAAAGAGGTTTAAAAGCACAAATTTGGTAGTTTGTAGACCACAGACAGTGGTCACAACGCTTATAGAAAAAAGGGTTAAACCGTACAACAAAAGGGAAAGAATATGCTCTTAGTTAATTGTACCGTGATGAATCCTATGGATCTAAACTCTAAACTTAAGTCATAGGAGCTTTTGTTACACATGAGCCATGTGAACTAAGCAGGAAACATGCAGTAAGGTACTGGAAGAGGAGGTTGTGTGTAAGCGCTGCCTTTAACCTTCAGACACCAGTGTGGTCTACGTTTGATACTGAAGTTCCCATTCACTCTTTAAGGGTGAGCTGTTCCGTGTGTCCGTGTGGAGTGGAGCCATGGCTGCACCAAGGCCGCCATGTCACTTCTCCATGCTTCTGGGTAACTAGCCCGAGCGCGCTCTGGACGCCTCTGGTCCCGCGAACCAGATGTCAGGTTCAGTGTTCCGAGTGTCCACGGTCGTTCCCCATGAGTCAGTTAATGCTGGTGCCAGGTAGGCTCAGGGTCTGTGCCTGAGGGCTCACACTTGTATGTTCTGTTCTCCAGAACAGTGTCTTCTGACTTTAAAAAAAGATAGTCAAAATTACTGTAGATAGTACAGTTGCTTTTATAAAAAAAATTAAAAACTACAATTTTTAGATGTAAAGGGAGCAGGGAAACCATTTTATGATACGTTACTCTTTAATACTTGAGGTAAAGTAGTTGGGCCAACACTGATCATGAAATTCTTGTACTATTGCATTCTCACCTTTCTGATTCCGTGGGGAGACTTTGGCCCCATGTGTGACTTTGGGTAGATAACAGGCACTATTAGGGAATGTGATCGAAATCGGCTGTATCATGAGGCCTGGTGAGGAAGTGGCAATTGCTGTTTCTTTTACTTTTTAGAAATGAGAATGTTCATGAGTGTTCGTTGTAGATGAGTTTTAGTTAACCAAGTGGTTGATTACTTAATACTGGCCCTGCCCTGTTCACACTAGGTTTATCCAGCTGTTACAAGGACGAGGAAATTAGGGGAGCAAACCTCATCATCATGTCCTAGCTTAGCCACGCATGCTCCTTGTCCTACCAGAAAGTCAGGCTCACAGACTTCTTTATCTATAGGAACTCTGGTGCATTATTTTGTTTGCCTTTGCATGTGATGTGGAATGTTCACCAAAACTGGCATGAAAGTCATGATTGGATTAACTCTTCCCCACCACTATCCTAAAAAGTTTGTCTTTTTAAATTACTGGGTGTGTGTGGCTTTCTTTTTTTCTAACATTCCCAGCAAATTCTTGCTAAGACTGTACTGTTAAAATGGAAATTACAAGGGGGACATGTGGTATGTATACCGTAAGTGAAAATGTGGTGTTGTCTTAAAATCACTCTTGTACTTTAGGAACTTGCCGGTCTCCACTTTAATTCTGTCTGAGTGTAAAAGAGCCTAATAAGTGTATGTTGATTTCACTGTAAAATCTTAAGTCCATGTATATTACTGGGGGAGGGGCGCCTGGGCCCCTGGAGGGCTTGCCTTTTTGTCCCCACTGTTTAACAGCTCAATTCTACCCCTTGGGTTTAGTTAAATTTATTTTTTAACAAGTTATTAGAAATTAGGCTTTAAAATGTTCCATGTGGATTAAGTTTTTATCTTTGGTTTGAGAATCTATAGAGAGTGTGTCATAAATGTGGCCTAAAGGGTGTATATATCTTTAAATCAGATTGTGTTGTATCTTGACAAATACAGAATATCCCAGTGGCCTTTTTTTTAACTGCTGTGTGTTCATCTCTTCCTTTTGAGCATTCCCATTAAGCAAAAAAAATAGAGTATTATGCTGTTTTCATTATTAGGTTACAGGCTGAAAATGTGTGTCCAGTTTTCAAACTTTAGATTGTGTTTTTCATGAAAGAACAGGTCTGTTTATGGACTGGTTTTCTTTTAAAAGGATTATTGTTTTACAGTTTGAATTCTAAATCATATTTTTGATATGCTGCATGCCAAAAAACATCTACCTGTTCTGGGGTAGAGGGAAAAAAAACTAATATTCTACCTTACTGTTAAAAGTTTAGAGAAGGCTTTTTTGGTTTAGTTTTAAAGGTCAGCAAATTGCCTGATGAATTGTTTCTGAGCATTTGTCAGTTATTCTGTTTCAGAACAGTTCTGAACAGTCCAAATGAAAGTGCAGTGCATTTTTACAAACTAAGCGACTCACTCCCAAACCCCTGGTAGTCATCCTCATTCTGGAAGTGAGGTCTCTGAGTACAAACCGCTTTGTCCTGTAGCACCAGTAGAAGACAGGGCGGGACCTGTCACAACTTCTTCCCTTGTGCTCTGAGCACAAGGCCTGTGTGTGTGTGTGTGTGTGTGTGTGGCTGGTGTGGCAGACCCAGTTGTAGCTGAGACGGGAAACTTGTTAGCCTATCAAATGGATCAATTGTTTGCTTTCTATTTTACATAGGAAACCGTTTTCTAAAGCTAAAATACTTGAATTGTCAGACAATGTAATCTCAGTGTGTATTAGTTTTGAATGATCCCTTTGAGCAAGTGTATCAATCCATGAAATGTGAATAAACGGAAAGTAAACAGACTCAGTGTTTGACACGTTTTGTTCCTCTGCTGCACCCGGTGTGAGGGCGCGGCCAGCCCGCCAGAGCTGGGGGGGGGGGGGGGGAGCCATGTGGAAGTATGCCTGGAAGCCCCCTAGCAGCAGGAGGAGGGTTGGCTGGGAGGTGAGAGACCCAGACCCATCTGTCATTGCATCCCTAGGTGCCTTGGATCACTTGTGCTGGATGAGACCCATTCCAGGCCATTCAGGACTTTCTGTTGGATTCCTGTTTTTCCAGGTTAGACTGGGAATAATGGACCTTTCATTGGCTATCGTGAGAAGCATTGTGCTAGAAGCTTTTAACATATTCTCTTGTTTAGTGCTTGCAGCAAACCTTCCAGACATGGGCTCCTGGGTGGACTTTCCAAAGAAACGAGTTTGGGCAGGTAAGGTTTCTTCCAGCAAGTAAGTGGATTTGGGAATCTGTGTCCAGGAGGACATTGTGAAACTTAAGGGTCAAAATGATTAAGGAAAAAAATGTATTTTGAGTCTATGTAACCTTGTTTTTGGTGATTTAGGAAATCACTACTAAGGCATTAACACAGTAAACTATAATTCAGAGTAAGGTTCATATTTTTAAAACATTCCTGAGTTATTCACTTAGTTTATTTATAAGAGGTGTCTCTGGTAAAGAAAACTATTACAAAGACTAAGTTATCCATCAAAATGTTTTTCTTGAGCTGGCAACATCTTGTGGAAACTACTGAAGACGCTGAGAGTGCAGGTACTCTCTAAAGAGGAAGAGTGCATTGCAGCCACGCTGGCCCTGTTTGAGGCGCTCAGCTAAATGGCTGGGCTGGAGCAGTGGTTCTGCAGGGTGGGCCCAGGAGCAGCGGCAGCCACACCCAGGGCCCTGACAGAATCACGCTCAGGGGCCCACCCTGCACCTGCCGAAGCAGAGGCAGGTGTCGTTCACATACTTAGAGAATTCTCCTTTTTAACGTGTACAGTCCAGCTGTTTTTCGTCTATGCACCGAGCTGTACACCCATCACAACTGTTAGCAATAATTACAGAATATTTTATCACCAGCCATCTGGATTTTCACAGCTGTTTCAGATTCACATCAAATTCGAGGACCAGTGGGCTACATCTGCATTCCTGTATGACTCTGTTTCAAGGTGACCTATAAAATGCCCTTTTGGCACAGTGAGCCTCACAGTTGCCTGGAACTACACCAGCTTTGTACATGTCTCAGTCCAGCTTCACTGCGTCTGCGAAGGTAGGTGGCGGTTCTTCACAGGTCAGAAAACCCCAAGGAGATGGAGCTTGTTGACGGAACAGCCACGTGGGGCTCCCTGCGCAGTGTGACTTGAAGGTATGTGTGTGCCCATTAAAGGACTAAGCTTCACTGGTTTCTGAAACTGTCTAAAATATTTTTAACAAAGTGATTTATTGAAAATATAATCAACGTATAAAATAGGTAACTAATGAGAGCCTACTGTTTAGCACAGGGAACCCTACAATGATGGGTGGTGACCTAAATGGGAAAGAAAATCTATGAAGAGTGGATATGTGCACATGTATCAACTGATTCTCTTTACAGCAGAAATACAACACCGTAAAGCAAGTATACTCCAATAAAAATTTTAAAAATACCGCTAGTTTACCTAAAAACCATGATGTTTCAAATGGAGCAGTCTAATTGTTTTATTGAAGTCAGGTTCCTTAAGCCACAAACAGGAAGGAAATGTCTTTTTAATAAGCCTGTTGGCTTACGTGGAGGCCAAGTCACGAGAGAACTGAATGAAGCAGAAAGCAAAGGAAAAGACATCTTTTGTCTGATCATCCCCAAAACACATACTTTCCTTCCTCATAGAAGTTTTCCAACCATCCTGTCATTTTAACAATCAAGTGCAGAGTACAGTGTGTTCACACATTCAACGTGTATATATACAGTGAACCGTGGTACTGTATGGATTATTATACATTTACCCCTCCTCCCGGTAGAAAATTCCTCAAGGTTTTCCCTTCCAGTCAGCATTCTTTTTCTAAGCTAGGGCATGACAGTGGTTCCTAAAGTGCATCTATGTTAGCGTGAGAGAACGGAGAGAGGTAGCCTTCGAGAGCAGGCAGTTAGTACGGATGCAGCTACCAGCTTCCAGGGTACAGACTTTGTCAAGAAAGTCAACAAGCAAAGGGGGTTGACTGGATGAAAAGGAAGTGAAGTCACCTCTTACCTACTAAACTGCCGCCTCCTCAAGCACCATCTGCACATCTTCCTAGGTACAGGCTGCCCTTGGTGACGCCTGGCTCATGTTTCTAATGCAGTGACCTTCTGCGAGATGTAGTGATGATCCCATTTCCTGATTGTATGTGTTCCTCCTGACCACCCCCCCACCACACCCCACCTTTTGTTGTAACTTTTGTGGTGTCTTGGGCCTTCTGCCCATCACCTGATGACATCGGAGATCACCTAACCATGGAAACAGCCCACCGCCTGAGTGGTTTCCTTCCGCAGACCCTGCTGGCGGAGTTGGCCTGCGGGGGCTGTGAACGTTCTCAGTGTCGACCTGACAGCTACAGGCTAGGAGGCAACAGAGCCAAAAACCATCTTCCGGATGACCAGTAGCTTGTTGGGAACCTGCCAGCACTTGAACTTGGGACTCCTGACTTTTATTCCAGTCTTTTTCCCACTTCTCTGAGGGCCTTTTAAGAGGTTCTCTAGCAAAACCTTAGGGAATTTTATAGTATAGCTGAAAGACTATATACTGCTTTATAGGGGCCGAAAGCCGAACCTGCAGCATATCTATGATTTCATTCTGCAAATACAGCATCTGAGCACATTCCAGCTGCTGGCCTCCAGACCTCCCTGCTAACTCCCAGGCCCGCCAAAGCCAGGGCATGCCTTCTTGTCATTCAATAGAGTAACTTGTATGAAAGCTCCAAAGGCTAAGACATCTCTGGGGGAAAAAATTAAGATTCAATCAGCAAGTTAACACATTGCAGTAGTATCCATATTTAATCCAAAACACCCTTTAGAGAAAAAAATAACGGTACAGATTCAATAGAGAAGAAATAAATAATACCCAACATGCAAATCAACTTTCAGAAGAAATGCAAAGTCATAAAGCACAGCTAACAGCCAACCACAATTACTGCTTAGAAATTATTCCTATTGTATGTGGAAGATGGTTAATCCCGAAGCCACTGACAGTGCTTATGGAAATACCAGCGACAGATCCTAATACAGTCAAAATATGCCGTCATGGTGTTTCTGCTAAAATATATTTTGTAGAAATCATTTTAGTTGAGCCTCAAAGTCATGAAAAACCACAGATTTTCTTTGCAGGTTTACATATTGTCACACATAGAATTCGTTTGGAGACCATAAAAGATTACTATTTACACCTAAATCACCCAACCTTCAGGAAGTGGGGAAATGAGAGACTGGATACCCGCAGCGGAGCTGGAGCACCGCTGTGGGTTTTGATCTGCTGAGTTCAGGGCTGGAGCCGCAGTTGCAAAGATGCCCGCCTGCCTCGGGTAGGGTAGAAAACTGTAAACACAAACGCCTCCAAAAGGCCGGCTGCCTCCACTTCGGAGGCTCTACCCGCTGTGGACTCTGAACCCAGCCCCAGGCCACTCGGTGCTCAGGCGATTTGGCTTCTGCGTGGTGCCCCGGGGTCAGAGGAAGGAAGGGCCGCAGGGCTCCTTTCCACCAAAGGGGCCACATCAGCGCCCAGTCAGTCCGTGAGCAAGGACAAGGGCAAGAAGCCTCGGTGCCCCCAGCACCCAGCTCCCAAGATGGGGCGGGACTCTGGCCGGAGAGGAGCCCTGCCCGAAGGACGGCTGATGCCCCCGGAAGCCACTTCACTCCAGCTCTGGGGCTAGCACAGCATCCCTGCTGGAGTCTGTCCCACTAGGGCAGATACTTTCAAAGAGAAACAGCTCTGCTTTCTGATACTCAGGAGAGAAAAGGCCTGAACAGGAATAATCCATGTACTGTCAAAAGACACTTGGCTTTTGAAACTAAATTCCAGCTACACTGGAAAACTGAACAGAATTATCAGAGTGGAACCTGTTACCAAGGTGTATTGAAAAGTTGACAGTTTTATCTGTAAATCTTAAAAATTTGGGCAGCAATTTAAAATGCCTGTATTATGATAATGTCAAATATGTTTTTCAAATGTCAGTCATCAATACTAACTACATAGGTACTTCCTCTGGAATGTCTTTTAACAGAAAAAGATAATGATGTTTTCACATCATTCTTCAAAAATGTTTACTGACCAGTTTATGTGATTAAAACAGCAAAAACAGATCCTGGTTTGATTCTAGCTAGAGTCTTTGGAGAAAAACAAATCACATCAGGAACATGCCTTTCTGTCATTCGCATCTTTGGTAGAAACCTAGTTGATTTCCGATGCTTTGCTCACAGTCCTTGAAAAGCCCAAATGTTAGCAAGGCTCTGACTCACCCATGCTATCTCCAAGACGACTGGCTATAGAATACTTTGCTTCTCTTGGACAACTTCTCTGTTACCTAATGTTTTAAATGATATTTGTTTTAAATAATATCCGTTTGAAGTAAGCCTCAGTTGTTTTCACAGACAACTGAAAATTCCTTCTGTCAGACATTGGAATGGAGACTAAACGCTGCCTGAACCCTCAGGTGCTGGGAGATGCAGAGACAGTGGCCTGGTCTGACTGCAGGACCAAGACATAATGTCCTTAGAAAGCCTAGAGGTTACAGGTTTCTTCAAGGGAACCCCGGACTTGAATTCCAGTTCCCATTTAAGAGATGTTCACACGCTCTGGCCGCCTCCATGTTACGTAAGTCAGGCATGTTCCTGGAAAATGAAAGATGGCCTTACAGGAAGTGAGGTGTGGTAACACCGAGACGCCCCGGGACGTTGGCGGGCCATTCCAGCTGTCACGTGCCTCTTTGTGACTCTGTTACTGATGTCCTTTGGGACTGAAAAAAGCAAAACTCAAGAGTAACGGCTTACTGCCTAGTGACCAAACACCTCTACGCTTGTTTAGATCAAGTGTCAGAAGTACCCCGGGGAGGGTTTAAGACTGAGAAAGCTCGGCTCCTGTGTCCGTCCTGGGGCGGCAGGGGGTCGTGGCTCAGTGTCCATGGGGGCCGGGCGCCTGGGCTGTGCTCGTCTTCCCGCTGTTCAGTCTCTGGCAGTTCACCTGACCTCTCTGTGGCTGCCTCCTCGTCTCTAAGATGGGGGTGATGATGGTATCTACATGTCTAGCACAGTGCCTGCATATGCCAGGGACTATCTCAACGCTGGATATAAAACAGCCAAACCATGCTGTGCGTCTGTTCATGTGCTTTACGAGTGAGGTGTGATCGCTAACCCCAGCACGCACACAACCTTCCTGCAGTTGGCCCTCAGTTACCCTACGAGGCATCTTAACAGGGGGTCCCACTCCTGGCCCCAGTGGGAGGCCCCTCCTCGGGGTCCTCGCCGTTGACAACAGAGAGGGCCCTGCACTTGCGCTGAACGACCTCATCCTTCCCTGGGAGATGCGTCAGGACTGCATTTTTCGCAAGGTCGGGGCCAAGAGCCTTCAGACCGCAGAAGACCAGGAAGGAGAGGAGCCCAGGGAACACGCAACCCGTCTCAGGACCCTGGGCCAGGCCCCCGGCTCCCTGAAACTCTACTCCAGTGCTCTGCTAGAAGACGCGGCTTTGGGACATCAGATCGTTAAATCACGCAAGGAGCTGAGATGCAGCCAAATGTGGGTGAGCCGGGCACTGTCGGAGAAGCCGAGAATGTTCCCCCTGACCCCACCGCTCCCCTTCTTGGCCTAGGTGATGGGGTTGGGGTGGGTGGGGGCGGGGGAGCAGGAAAGCATTCCTATGACCCGACACCTGAGCTGAGCTATGCGGGATGACTGGCCATCTCACCCTGACCTGGTCGTGCGCTGGAACCCTGGAGACTTCAGTGAGGTAGGTGGTATCAGCCCCATTCACAGGTGGGCAAACTGAGGCAGAATGAAATGCAGTAGCTCGCTTTTAATAACAGCATACAAAGTCTGGAGAAGCCCCAAAGGAGTCCCCCTGTTTCCCGGAGCTCGAAGCAAACCCTTGGAGCGCAAAGGACGGAAACGGACAGGAACACGAGCCCCTCCTCCTACCCCCCTCCTCCCCCAGGGGGATCGCTACCCGCACCCCAGGGACCCTTCAGATACCCCTGAGGACACACAGAGAGCAGCAGAGACCCCGCTGACAGCTCACCCCTTGGGGAACAGCAGGAGCAGTGCTTCCGCTCCTGGGGAGGCTCGTGGTTCTGAGAGGAGCACGGCGCATCCCCGCAGGTGGAAACCTTCCATCCGAGCTGGAAGGAGGCCTGACCAACCGGAAAGCCAGTGCCTCTTTGCCTCAGTGACTGGCCTGAGAGGTGGGACCCGCACACCCAGTCAAAGGAAACGAGCTCCAGGGAAGCAGGGAAGACGAGCAGCTCCAGCCCCTGCCCTGGTCCCGGAGGACGGAGGCTCGGCCTGGAACCTTCCTGGGAGGACGTCGACCCCACGGCGCACCATCCGCCCTTCGGCAGGAGACCCCCACCCTTCTCCTGTCGGCACGACCCCTCCCCTCCTGCCCTCAGGACCCCAATCCTGCCGGTCACGCCAGCCGAGGTGCAGATGGGCCGTCTCCAGGTTGGGGGTGTGTGTATGTGGGTGATGCTCTTTGGCTGGAAGCAAAGGCCATTCTGGCGGGACAAGGGCCGGTCTGGAGCTGGGTGCGGGGTGAGGTATTCCCAGCCCAGGGCAGAGCCAGCAGACGGCCGTGCTCCCTGTGGAAACCCATCTAAAGACGACCGCGGGGCAAGCTGGGGAGGACAGACGATCGGGACTAACTCATCGGGTCAGCGTCACCACATCTTAAACCGGTTTTCCTTGAGTGCTGGATACGTGGTGCGGCTCCAGCCAGGCAGTCTCCCTGCTGTCTGCCGGGAGGTGAGGGCGGGTCCACGGGCTGGCCACCGGCCGCTCCCTCGCTCCTATGGCCTCCTGGCGAGTCTGCTCCTCGGGGTGCAGAGGCTTCCCCCAGAGACAGGCTGAGGGTGGTGGGTGGGTGGGCGCGGGGGCCAGAGCAGGGCCAGCAGGGACGAGGAAGAGGCACTTCAGTTTGGGCTGGTGTTCGTGGAGTTGGCCCTGGCCCCGGGAGTCGAGTGGCCCCGCCTGGCTCCGGCTCTGGCGCTGGGTGGTCCCGGAAGACCCCAGTGGCGGTGGGCAGGTAGGCACTTGGCAGCACTCCCAGGACTGGGCAGGGCTGGGGGCTCCGCACGGGCTCTGCACACGGCTAGGTCATCAGGATGGGCTTCTGCCGAACTTCCAGGATGTCTAGGGCGGCAGGAGGGGGCGTGGAGGAGACAGGGAAAGGTGACCCTGTGGGCTCGCAGAGGGAGCATGGGAACCTTCCCGGTGCTCCGTTTGTGAGGGCTGCCCCCAAGGCGCTCTTCCAGCCCTGGGGGACCTGCGGTGCTGGGCTCACCCTCCCTCCGGACAGGAACGGGGCAATGAGCGCGCCTGGAGCAGCTGCACCGCTGGGCGAGGGCTCGGGGCTTGGGGCTCATGCAGGCGGCCTGACTCTGGAGTCACGGCCCCGCAGGCCCATCAGCACGAGCTCCGCCTGCCCCTCGAGTAGCAGGCGCATGCCGAGGGTCTGAAGCCCTTCCCGGGGGATGGCGTGGGCGCCCAAGCACTGCCCACAGAAGCACTGTTTAGGGGCCCATGGTTCCCCCAGGGGTCCCACCCCAAAGTCAAAGTCACCTGTTAAAATCCGATGCAGCGGCAAAGTGACATAGGTTAGGTGTGCATAGAGAAGGAAGTTCCCGTCTGCTCTGTTCAGCTTCAGCCAGGACCCGACCAGGGAGCGCCCCGTGCCCGACAAGGAGCGAGACCGCAGGTTGGTGGCATTGTGCAGGTCGGCTGCAGCAGAGAAGGCAGGTCAGGCCTGGGCCACGGTGCGGCGGACGCCGGGAGGACACAGCCCAACCAGGTAACCCCTCCCTGGCCTGCGACGCCCAGCCCCCTTCTGCCTTCCCGCCTGATCCCACCCCAGTCCTGGAGCGCCTCCCCTGGGGGCCCTGTCCCGGCACTGCTGGGCTCTGTGGCTGCCCCACTCCAGTCCTCTCCCTGGAGGGGCGCGGGGGTACGGCTGGAACGACCTAGCACCATCACCCAGCCGTGGGCCGCCCAGGGAGGCAGGTGGGCGCTGTGGACGCCTTCCTGCTAGTCTGGAAGGAGCCCAGGAGGGCGGCGCTGCCCAAGCCCACTCGAGAGCAGGTCAAGGCTGGGGCTAGGGTCTCCGGCCCTGGCCAGGGTCTCGTCCAGCAGGCCCTCTGCCTCGGTCCTGCTGATCAGGACCCTCTAAGCTCCTCGAACGACTTCCCGCTGCTCTGATAAACACAGCCCCACCCTCCAGTGGCACCGCTCCCACAGTGGGGCCCACCTGGAGCAGAGAGGGGAGCAGGGAGGCCCTGAGGACTGAGTGGGTGAGATCAAGGACCACGAGACGCCCAGGAGGCCGCCGGACAGACGGGCCCCCAGGCTCGGGGAGGAGGGCAGGCGGGCCCCAAGGGACACCCCGCTGGGGGCGGCACAGCCACAGGGCACGTCGCGGAGGAAGGGGGCGCAGCACACACGCGTGCGCCCCAGAGCCCTCCCCTGGGCCCTGAAGTCAGGTGCCAACTGCCCGCCACACTACGCCCATGGCTGGGGGCTCCCCTCCGTGGCTGTCTGCTGTTTGTCCAGAGCCCCACCCCCGCCCAGGACGGCCCCCTGGCTCTCCGAGTGTGCAGAAGGGCGTGAGGAGGCTCCGCGGGGGTGGGGGGAATTGGGGAGCAGAGTCACCTCCCCCGTCGTCCTCCCGGAAGAACTCCTCGCTGTCGTTGGCCGAGTGAGACTTCTTCATCTCTGCGATCCGGTTCCGGGGCCCCTTCCTCTTGAGGGATGGGGAGAAGAAGGCAGGCCGGTTGTTCCGCTCGGGGGTGGGGGGTGTGCTGAAGGAGGTCACCTGGGAACAAGACGCGTGTCACCAGGGTGGCCCGCTGACCCGATAGGGGGGCCCGGTGCCCACCCATCTCCCGCCTGCAGACCGCGGCCGGCCTGGGGCTCGGCGGGCGCTGGCCACCAGCTCCGCCCCGGGAAGAACCCTGCTGCCCTCCTGGGGCCTCAACTGCTCGACTGGGGTCATTGGAGCACAGAGCAAGCCTGGCTGCTGACACGGGTCGAGCACCCTCTGGGCGCCGAATCCACCGAACCGTCCCGACCACCCTCGACGTGAGAGCCGGCTGGGGCGGGACAGCCACCCTGGCAGGGCCAGGGTCACCCAGCGGACGGTGGCCACGCTGGGGCTTCCCCTCAGGCCATGCTCTTCCTTCTAATTTCTTCTCCCGGCTTTTATCTCCTGCCCCCTCTCCCCCAGCGTCCTTCCACAGAAGTGCAATGGTCAAGCGGTCCACCCCTCCAGCTCCTCCTCTCCTCTCTTCTCACCACACCGCCCATCACCCAGCGTTCTTCACGCCCACTCAGGCAGCACACGGCCTGGGTCGCTGCCCCCAAGGAGCTCACAGCCTGCCGGGTGGGCGAGAGGCCCAGAAGTCGACAACCACAGACTGGATGGCGGTTATTAAAGACAGGGAAGGGAAGCAGAGGACACGGGCGCGCAGAGGCACAAGGATCAACAGCCTGGGGCACCACGAAAGGCCTCCCGGAGGAGACGCCGCTTGAGCTGAGTCTTGAAGGACGAGTAGGAGTTAGCTAGGTGAAGAAGGGGGGGAAGGGCGTTCCAGGCAGAGGGAACGAGGCCCATCTCCTCCCTCCTCCCCACGCAAACAAGAATCTGAGGAACCAGGCGAGCTGGGACTGAGACTTCGGGAGCCCCGTCAGCCTCCTCGTCACGGCTCCGACGTCCACCAGTCCCGGCGGCCGCTGGGCTCCAGACGGTCCTCCCACAAGCCGGGGAAAGTTTTCAGAAGATAAAAAAACAAAACACCAGAAACCACAATACACACAGAGTCTGCATTTGTCACACGCTGGTTACAAACGACCCCTCTGGGAAAGGGGGAGCGAGCACAGAGGCGGGGGGCCCCAGGCAGTGCCGGGAGGTCAGGGCTTTTGCTGCTGACAGCCGTGTGACCCTGGCAGGCCCCTCCCCTTGACCCTAGGCTCCCCCTGCTGCTGCGGGCCAGGGGCTTTCCCAGGCACTGTCTCCTTCACCCCCCGCGGCCACCCTGGGAGAGAAAGACCAGCACCCCCATTTGACAGACGGAAAGATGAAGGCCCGGGCTGGTCCTGTAACCCCTCTGTGGTCACTGGGCAAACAGGCGGCCAGAACTGGCACCCAGGTTTGTCCAGTCCAGGCCCAGGCCCAGGCCACATCTTCACGAGGACTGTCACGCACACGGTCGTTAGCCTCAGTGGGCACCTGAGGACCAAGGGGGAGCCAGGCTCCTTATCGCAGAGATGAGCCACCTCTGTCCCCAAGACAACAGAGGCCTCTGCCCAGAATTCTCACCCATCATCACAAAAAGAGAGCGTTTGTTGTTTCTGCTCTGCTTACAAAATACATTCACTGCAGGAAACTCAAAGTGGAAAAAAAAGAAAAACCTAACAAGAGAAAGAAAACCGCCACCTGACTCCCTGGAGCTGTGCGTGCTGAGGGTGATCCTACAGTGAAAGGCAGAGTGTGCGCGGTTCCCTGACCTCGGGCACATCAGCGGGCACGCGGGACTGACAGGCGCGGGGCCGTTTCTCCAGGCAGATGCCCCGGCCGGCCCCACCCCCAGCAGGGCCTCTGATGCCCTGGCTCCTGAGTCCTCAATACCTCGGGAGGCGGGTGTGTTCACCCCATTTCTGGGCAAGCAAACTGAGGCTCAGAGAGGAGAGACCTGCCTCAGCTCACGCAGGCAGCAGCGCCAGGACTGCGGCTTACCCCACAGCCCCTCCTGGAGACGACTGGCAGGGCGCGCTCCTCCTTCAAGAGCCCCTGTCTCCTCTGGAGCCCTCAATGGGGGCAAAGCAGCTGATGGGCTGGGTATTTTCTCCTCCCTGAGCCCTGCCCCCGGCCCACAACCCCAGAGGCTCTGGGAATAAGGCTGCCACTGAGCTCCGTTTCCAGGCCCCGGGAAGGACAGTGGCCTAGAAAGGGCTCAGAGGCCCAGTGCTGTCACGTGAGCCACAGGGCAGAGGGCAGCACAAGGAAGCCGGCAGGCCTGGCGCTGCCCAGGTCTGCAGACAGGAAGGCCCAAACGCGTCCACAGCTGCGCGGCCGTCAGCTGTTCGGTGCCCAGAGCCTGGTTGGCAAGCGGCCCTGGCAGAGACGAGCCGGGGGCCCCAGCCGGCCCTCCTGGAGCATGATGGGCAGCTGGCTGGTCGTCGTCCCCATCTCGCCCCCGGGGAAGGCTGCTCGGGTGCTCACCCTCGCCCAGCAGGTCCACCAAGGCGGGCGCTAGGACCCAGCCGGCTGAGCCCTGCCGCCGTGGCCGCTCGGGGCTCAGGCACTAACCTGCTGTGTGACCCCGGGCCAGTCACCTGCCCTCTCTGAACCTTGGCCTGCTCCCCAGAGGGGTGGGGACCATGACACCTACCTCCCGGGGGCGGGGGCGGGAAGGATGGGGAGGCGGGGCCCTCCCCGAGCGGCGCAGCCTTACCCGCTCATGCATGGGCGAGGCCGGGCTAGAGTCCTCTTCTGTCCCACAGGGGGACGTGTCGCCGGTGGACACGCGGCTGACTGCCATCTCGGCGTGGCCCTTGCCCTGGGGCCCCTTCATGCGCACGAACTCCATGGTGCTGTACTTGTAGAAGCCAAACGACATCCTCTGGGCCACGCGGGCCGCCACGCTCACCTGCGGGCGGGCGGGGGGCGGGGTCAGGTGGGCGGGGGCTCCCGCAGCCAGGGGGCCCTCCCTCAAGAGGCCCGAGGGCCAACGGCCCCCCTCCGGAGAGACCCAGCCCCAGCTGACCCGGGCTCGCCCACAAGGCGGGGTGGTGCCGGGACTCTTGCATCCCCGTCTGAGGCCCTCTCGGCCCGAAGACCACGCCCCGTCCGGGCCCCAGGGTCCAGAGAGAGGACACCTGGAGCGGGGCTCAGCGGCAGGAGGGCGCCCGCCCACCTGGACTCCCCTCCCCTCGGTCCGTCGATCAGGCCCTGACCAATCCCAGGAGGGTTTCCCTGGGACGATCACCACCTGACCCAGGCCCCAGCCGCCAGAAGGGGCGTCGGGGGCGCTGCAGGAGCTGGGCGAGAACGGAGGGGGGCTGTGGGGCGCTGGCCCCGGGCCCCGGCCCGCCCCGCACTCACGCGGTTGTCGTACACCTTCTTGAGCGCCTCATAGCGGATGGAGCCCTGGAAGATGACCCCCTGGAACGTGTTGGTCTTGTCACTGGCCACCAGCTCCACGCAGACCATCTCCCCTTCCCCCACGGTCATGTCACTGAACACCTGGGGTGGGGGGGCGCGAGGCGGATGCGGGGATGCACCGGTCGGTTGCCCCCCGCCCCCAGCACGGCCCGGCTCCCAGTCCCCCACCCGACTCCTTGACTCAGGGAGGGCTGCTTGGAAACTCCCCCTTTACAGGTGAGAATGCTGAGCCACAGATGTAAATGTTTTTGCCCAAGGCCCCCAGGCCTGCCACCACTCAACGGGGACCCTCACAGCAAGGGGGCAGCCCACCCGCGGGCAGGAGCAGCGTCTAGAAGGGGCTGAGATCGGGACTCCGGGACCGGAACAGGATGCGCCCCACCCCAGCGTCCAGTGGAGGGACACCAGGAAGTCGAACAGTTCACGGGGACTGTCTGGCCCGCTTTCGAGTGTCTTCTCCACCCCCGGCTATGGGTGCACAGTCCACTCGCCCCAGCCCTGCCCCCGCCGTCACGGCCTGTGTGTGGGCACCAGCTCAGAAGCCGCACGGACAGACTGCCTGCCTGCGGGGAGTGATGGCCCGCAGGGGGCGATGCCCCGCGGGGGGCGATGGCCTGCAGGGGACTGGACAGCCGCCCCTGAGAGTCACTGCGCATGGGGTGGGGATGGGGGGGCCTGTGCAGGCTGAGCTCTGAGGTCGTCCAGACTCCGGCTTCAGTCTCAGCTCTGCGGCAGACCAACTGTGTGAGCCTGAAGAGGGCGCTCAGCCCCCTGACCTGAGATGCTCAAGATGCCTCGAGAAGCGACCTGCAACCCACGCCCCATCCTTCGTGAGTCCTCCAGGGCACCCCCCCCCCCCGGCCCTCGCTGCGGGTGGTGGGGGGAACAGCTCCTCGGCCCAGACCTCAACAGGAGGGTGGCTGGACAGGAGCCGGCAGGGTTGCCAGGGGGCGCAGCTGGCTTCCCAGCACCCCGCGTTTCCCAGTTGAGTGAGCTGCCCGGGGCCCCAGTTTTGTAACGTTTGGAGCCCCACCCATCGCGGACATCCTAGGACCCCAAGGTGTGGAGGCCTCATTTAGGGTTCAAGGGTGGTAATAACCGTCCCTCCTGCCCGGGCAGTGCCCTGCAGGACTTGATGACGCCTCCTCCCACGCGTGAGCTCTCTGATCTTTCAACCCTGACGCCCATTTTACAGATGAGAACACTGAGGCTCGAGCCTGGTGAACTCATTTGCCCTGAGTCAAGGAAACAGGGAGAGTTGGAGCCCAGCCCTGCCCCCACCTCCTTCCTGAAGGTGTGTGAGGCCTGGGGGGTGGGGCCAGGGGCTGGGGGTGTCACATCCCCTGATCAGGGAGCCAGACCAAGACAGGGCCCCCACCTCCTCGAAGCTGTCGATCATGAAGAAGATGTTGGGGTAGCTGATCTTGGACTCCTCCCCTTTGCTGTCCATGGGGTGCTTACTGGGGGACGCAAACACTTGCTAGAAGAAAGCAGATTGGAGGGGGCCGAGTGAGACCCCACCGTGCCCCACACCCGGGCCTGGAGCCACGCACTGGGGTGGGGTGTTTTGTAAGGCACGGGTCACAGGGTCACAGGTGCCACTGGGGAAGGAGCCTTTGGGAGGGGAGGACCTGGTTCAGGGGGCTCCACAGGCCCCCGGGGCTGCAGGGAAATTCTGGAGTCAGCCTCCCCTCGGCCGGACAGCGGGAGGGGTACTCGCCCCCATGAGCCCTGGGCCCCCGAGGGCTCACCTGGGACCTCTTCCTGTGGATGTGGATGTCGCCGCCATCGGCCCGCGTGCACACAGCACAGGTCACCGTGTAGTCCAGCTGGAAGGGACGCGGGACAGGGAGTGCGGGGGTTCGCTGTTCCCCGGGGCCTTCCGAGCACCCCGCCCCCACCGCTGGGAGCCCTGCCCTCGGCACTCCATACCTTCTGCAGGATGAGGTTCAGGCAGACGCTCTCCTCCCAGTCGATGTCGGGGTCTCCGAGGCCCGGGAGCTTCTTGGAGTCCCGCCGGTACACCTCCACCTCTACCTCTGGCTCGGCCTCCACCAGCTGCGAGGCCCAGGGCAGAGGTGAGTCCCGGCCCTCACTGCCCTCCCCGCCCCGAGTGGGGGCATCTTCTCGTCCCTGGCCCCTCCACGTGGGGCGTGGGCTCCAATCTCCCTCCTGGGTTCTCTGGCCACCCGACCCCCCCCCACCCCCGGGGTTCATCAAGAAGTCAGCCTCCCACCGAGTTCGTCCCTTGGGCCCCGCAGCAGGGCGGGGGGATCCCAGCATCCTGGCCCAGCCCACAGGCGGCCCGTCCACCCGTCCAGCCAGCCACCCTCTGCACCGGCTGAGCGCGCAAGAAGCCCTCGGGTTGCTACGGCAACCGGGTACCAGCTCCTTGGCGGCCCGGATGAGGAGGGGGCGGGAGGCGGCCGGGCTTGCCGCAGAGAGCCCGCAGTGCGCAGGCCCTGCAGCAGCGCCCACGGCACGCCGGCCAGGGGCTTTCCTTTCTGCTCTTCGGAGCAGAGGAGGGCAGGGAGGCTGCCAGGGAACCCCTCTGTGGTCTCCCTCCTCCCCCGCCCCGGCCACCTCGCACCTCCAGACCCGTGGGGTCTCCCCTGCCGCGCGGCCCGCCTGCCGCCTTCCAGACACCGCAGACCCACCCCGGCGGGGCCTGTCGTGTGTGTGCTGGCTCGCCCCTCCCCACAAATGTCCTCTGTCCACCGTCATCCCCTCGCTCTGACGGACAACATTGCGGCCAGACGCCGCCGCCTCCTCTGTGGGCCCCCAGCCACCCCACTCCTCCCACCATCCCAGCACCAACCGCTCCACGTGCCACTGGCTATGCGGGGCCAGGGGGCAGCGGGGCGGGGGCGTGCTCCCTGAGGGCCCGGCCGAGGCTGTCATCTCGTGCTACCAGTGCTGGGAGAGAAGGGCCTGCAGGGGGCTCAGGGCAGGGGTGCGGCGGCAAGTTCCAGCACGCGCACAGCTAGACGGCCACACGCTCCCAAACTCGGGCTCCCCTCACTGACCTCACCGCTGCCCCCCAGCCTTCAGAAGCCCTCACACAGCTCAGGACTTCCAGCTCCGAAACCGCTCAGGCCTGAGTCCAGGGTTCCCTCCCCGAGCGCGAGCCAGCACTTGCTTTCACCTCCCAGCCTGGCGGCTCGGGGAACCTGCAGAGCTGACCCCTCCTCAGCCCCGCCTGCCCACTGGCGCAGTCAAGGCCAGATCGGCTAAGAAAACTGTCCCTGACCAAAACCGGGGCCCCTCCAGGCACCAACATTCAAGGCACGACCGCATCTCACGTGGACTCAGTCCTCTGGTCTCAACACACTGCCTGTAAACCACCACCAAGATTGTGCACACACACACACACACAAACACACGGCATCTGCAACGTAAACCTCAGCAGACGGTCAGGCCCACTGTTCGGCCACTGGCCTCTCCGCCAGGACCATCCCTTCCCTTCCTTCCAGGCCCGCCTCACTCCGCTGGCCTCGCTGACCACGTCCCTCCCTCTGGTCACAATAGTGACCCACACCGTGTTGGCTCCACGTGATGCACTTCAGGGTCCCAGCGTCCACCGGCCCCAGTGACAACCCAGTCACATGGCCAGCCGCTGCACACTCCAGATGGTCACAGAGCACCCTGGTCCACCCCCGGGTCTTCCCGCCTGTCACGCAGGTGACAGGACCAGCCATTTGGCGGCAGGCACGCAGGTCACTATGTCTCCTTTGCAGCAGGCACCAGGCCTGTCTGTTTGCAGAAAACCCGTCCTGCATGATCAGGCTCAAAGAGCAGGTACAGGGCAGGGAAGTCACAAGCCCCGGCTACCAAACCCCAGCCTAGGGTTAGGGTTAGGGGTCACAAGCGCTGGGGCAGGTATGCTGCAAAGACCTGTCTCCACTACCCGCAGGGTTTTTGTGTTTAAATGAAAACAACACCTTTGCATGTTTGGCATACAGGTTGTTTCAACATTTTACAAAACAATAAAGCTTCTGAAAGACATGCAAAGCTTGTTCTACTAACTTGTCAACACACTGAAACTTAGAGAATTAAACACCGGAGGTGACTCATGTCACCTGCAAGCCTTCGGTCTCTTCTGTAAAAAGGGGATGATAACCCCTGCCCTGTCCAGTTGCTGGGAAGACATAGGAGATGGAGAGGCAGGAGGCTGAGCCCCATGTCATGGGTGAGGTGAGGGCTCGGGGGCTGGCAGGCATCACCGCCATCACCACCATCACCAAGCCGGGTCACCTGCCCACGGCCAGGCTGGACCCAGCCTCCGGGGTCAACGTCTTCGCGCTCCCATTTACTTACTAAGGATGAGATGCCTGCCAGACCACCCAGCCTCTGGACATGTCTCCTCCAAGGCACTCATCGCTGCCTTCCGGGGTCGTGGGGAAGCTCAGTAATAACACCCACACGAGGCCCGCACAGCCACCACTGGACACCTGCGTGACCGCCCCACCCAGCTCCTGGCACCCGGCGGGCACTGAACGAACACCGCATTCCCCTCTCAGCATGCACGAGGGGGGCTGCAGGCGCCCCCCACAAGCCTGCGGACCCCAGGGAGGGGGTGGCCCGCGGGGCGCTCACCTTCCGCCCGTCCAGGGCAGCCTCGCTGCCCGCGAACGCCAGCTTCCGGCGTACGTAGAAGAGCATGTCGTCCTGGCGCGGGGCCCACTTCTCCATGAAGTAGGTGGAGAACATCCAGGTCCAGAAGACGATGCGGTCGTCCTTGAAGCACCCTGCACGGGGAGGCCAGAGGGGGTGGGGGGGCACCTGTGAGGGGCCTGGGTCGAGCCCTGGCCCCCCTTCCCTGCCCCCTGCAGACGACCTCTGCGACATGCGGAGCCCCTTCCCCTGACGCCCCAGCCCCCACGGGGCACCCGCAGAGGCCCCGAACCCTCCAACCAGCGGCGCGGCCTGGAGCCCCACAGCACCGCGGACTCCAGCCCAGGATGAATCAGCAGCATCGCACGGGGAAGGGAAGCCCGGAACGGAGGGAAGGCGCGGGCAGGCTGTCTGGCGGGGAGCCCCGAGGACTCAGGAGGGGAGATCCATCCGGCCAGCACCTCCCTCCCCACCCCCACCCCGGGAACCCGACTTAAAGGGCCAGCTGCCCCTCTGCCAGCCAGGCTCAGCTGCAGGCAGGAGGCAGGCAGCCTTCCAGCACGCTGGGCTGACCCTGCTTCTTACTACCGATAACGTTTCTTCCTGATACCTAGATCGTTATGGTCCTCTTTCTCACGCAAGGAGGGAAAAATCCCACAGGCTCGGGTAGGAAGGCTGAGGGTTTCCGCTGCAGCTCTGCCCTTGGCTGTGTGACAGCGGGCCAGCCGGGGGACGTCTCTGATCCCCAGCTTCCTAGGGTGAAGGCAGACTGACAGTGCAGACGTGGCTGGCCCGCGGGACCTACAAAAGGCGGGCGTCTGGACAGACCTGCTGAAGCCACAAGATGAGCTGCAGAACCATTGCTCAGAAACCGAGATGCTAAACTGCTCTTTCTTTCCCTCTCCCCCAAAGCGACGTCATCGCCTGACCATCGAGATGCTAAACTGCTCTTTCTTTCCCTCTCCCCCAAGCGATGTCATCGCCTGACCAAGTCCTCACACTTGTCTTCTGGAACGCGTGGAGACGGGACCCTCGGGCTGGGTATGGGGCTGCCCGTGTCCTCACGGGTGGTCAGATCCCCTGGCCTGCACCCACACCCGCTCCTCCGGGGGGTGGTGCTCAGCGCTCAGGCCCTGGAGGACTGAACACCCCGGGCCTGTTTACCTCAGCTCTCCAACACAGGCTGCCGCCCTCTGCGCCCATGCGGTCCGCAGCCCACCCAGGCCACACCCTGGCTGGTTCCCACGGGAGGAAAACAGAGGGGGCTCTGATGAGTCAGGGGGCCCAGGCCGGCAAGCCTGATCAAGACAGAGGTCACTGGTCAGCTTCGGGGGCAAAGGCCAGGAGAGGGCCCCGGACTGACAGACTTCCTGCCACAGTGACAACAGGCAGCGGCCCACTCACACCCCGACAGCTGCTGCACAAAATCAAGCCGGGGCCCGCGTTCTTCCTAAGAAAACAAGAACACTCCCGGAGCAGTTGACTCTCAGCTCCTTCTGAGCCCCCAGCCCAGCAGAAGGCCTTCTAGACTCAATGCTCCAAGACTGCCTGCGCCCACCACTTCCTGGTCCCTCGGGGGGCCTACGGCAGCCGCTGTGGTCTCCACACGCACTGGGTCTGGGCTCCAAAGCCCACCACCTGCCGCAGTGAGTCAAGTTCACCATCCGTGTCAGGCTCAAGCGCTATACCCCCGGGGCGATCTCTTGACTCTGCAAGCAGAAGGAGCCTGGTGGTACCCACGGCACCAGGTGGGCGGCCACGGTTTTTCTCGCATTTGCTACATTGAGCCTCAGGCAGAGCCATGCAGACCGTCTCACTGAACTTTGCCCGCAGCCTGTTACTGCTGCTGCCTGGTTTCACAAGTGAAGAAACTGACTCTCAGGAGTCAGAAAAGGGGCCCAAGATCCCAGAGCTAGAAACTGCTGAGTCCTCAGACCTGTCAGACCATGCACACACACACACACACACACACACACACGCACGCACGCACGCACACACTCAGGCTCTCAGAAAATACAATGCGATGGACCTGGATAATGAATGCAAAGCGCTCAGCAGGCAGCTGGCAGCCCCAGGATCTGACAAGGGAGGGGTCCTTGGGTTTGGGGGTGGGGGGCTGCGTGCAGGAATGGCATGCTGGAGGCGGCGCAAGATATGTGCCAACGTGGTCTCCAGGGTTCCAGGTGCCGCCAGACCTGGCCCAGCAGGTCCAGACAAGGGGTCCCACCTCCCTGCTGTAAACGCTGGGAGATCGCTTTCTTCACAGCCCATCCGGCCCTGTCACTGAAGGAGGCTGCAGCCTACTGCTTGCCCGTGTTCCCTCCTGACACAGGGGCTCCTGGGGTCCAGCCCGAAGGTCACCCTCTGCCGGTGCCCCCATCCTCGACGGGCCACTCCCGAACCACCAGCCCGCTGCCAGGATGCTTCTCCCGGCAACTCCCGGCAGCCACGCAGCCTTCAGAGAGCCTGGTGGGCACCACACCTAAGTTCTTCCCCTCCCGGAGTCGGGGACAGGGAGAGCTCCCCTGGAATGCGTCCACTGCCCCGTCCATTCCCACCCCCCGTCTGCCCCCCACATCACAGCTACAGGGTCTGTATTTAAAGTCGTCTCCTATCGCCCTTAAAACCTTCCCATGGAATTCAGAATGAAAGCCAAAGTCCTGAGAAAACTCCCCGTGACAGCCCCTCCCCTCGCCGCTCACCAGCCCTGCTGGCCTCCTGGGGACGCCCGCCCCTCTGCCCCGGGGCCTTTGCACAGGCAGCTCCTTCCTGCCATTCCTGCTGCGACTCAGACGGCTCTCCCGTCTTCAGGGAGCCATTCCAGGCCCCACATGAAACGTGCTGGAGGCGCTCCCCTTCCTCTTCACCTTGTTTTACCGCCATCACTACGTCTGGGGTTTCACGACTGTTCCCCAGCGCACAAACGCCTCCCAAGAGGAGGGACCTGCCTGGATGACCATCTAGTGCAGTGCCCAGAGCAGAGTCAGGCACACCGCAGGCACTTAATAAGTGCTGTGTGAATAAAAGGACTGTCCCAACAGGAGACGAGCTCCAGGAGGTGGGTGCCTTGCCCAGATGCCCACAGCACGGATGCGGCCCAGCTGCCATCCACCCGAGGCCTGGGTGCCCCACGCAGGACACAGGGTGAGAACATGTCCTTTTCTTTCGGTCACAAGGGCCCTGACCCTAGAAAAACCTTCCAAGAGGCCCCACCACCACACACAACACAAGGGCTGAGGCTCCCCTGGCTCAACTCGCCCAGGGCTCAAAGCGGTGACTCCACGGGTGGGTGGGCGAGCCAGGCCTGCTGAGAAGGCACCTGGGCACCCAGACAGGGCCCTCCCCTCCCCACCTGTCTGCCCGCGCACCTGCAGTCCCTGCCTGCCCCGCAGGTGCGGGTGGGGAGACCCAGCGCTAACCTCCAAAAGGAGCAAGGGGCTGGGACATCACACAGATGTTATCACCAGCGTAACTATTTCAGTACCGATGACAAACTCAGGAGGAAGAAAACTACTCTCTCAGGGGGGCCCCTCGTACCCCATCCCTCACCGGTGAGATGCCAGAACCATTGTCAAGAGTGGCCGTGGGCGCCACACCCAGACGCAGGCGGGACAGACAGTGGGACAGTCAGGCAGAGGCCAGACCAGGAACACTCGGTATAAAGCAAGAGAAATCGCAAAAGTCGAGACCCACCCACCACCCTGAACACTCAAAATTCCCCTTGTGTGCAAGAGAGGCACAGCTGGAAATCAAAGGGAACGTGAAAACCAGGGGGGGCAAGTCACAGCAAATAAGTGTCCGTATATAAAGAATTCACAGCATAACAAGTCACGAAAGAAAACGCGTGTAAGACCCCAATAGATAAATGGGTAAAATACCCAAACAGGTCACTACCAAAAAAGAAACATACCCCCTTGGCAAGATGTGGGGAAATATTAATCTCACTAGCAATTAAAAAAAAATCACACTGAGAGAACAAGTTGTCATTTTTAAGAAGCAAATTTGCTTTTTATAAAAATACCAGGGGACTTCCCTGGTGGTCCAGTGGTTAAAATTCCACCTGTGAATGCAGGGGACATGGGGTCAGTCCCGGCCTGGGAACTAAGACCCCGTCAAGCCCGCGAGCCGCAGCCCGTGCTCTGCGAGGAGAAACCTGCGCCTGCAACGACGGAGGAACCCGCCCGCTGCACCAGGGGAGGCTCTCCCACAGCAGCAAAGACCCAGCGCGGCCAAAAATAGAAAGAAAGAAAAGAAAAAACAATCACTTAGGAAAACTGGCAGATTTTGTAAAGCTAAATATGTGTTAAACAGTGATTCAGCCACTTCCAGGTACTGGCCCAAGAGATACAAAGCATGTGTCTGCACAGACACTGGTGCACAAACGGTCACAGATGCTTCGTTCCTGAATAAACCCAAACTGGAAACCAGGGGGAGACACATCCGAAATGTGACACAGCCACTCAGTGGCCTGTTAGTGGCAACGAGAACAAACTACTGACCGACACAGCACGGAGGGTGAATCTCAGAACCATCACGCCGAGCAGAAGAAGTCAGATATAAGAAAAAAGAGCTACATCCCGAAAGACCACATTCACAGGATGCTCCAGAAAAGGTGCAGAAAGTAGACTGGTGGTCGCCCCAAAGTTCTGCCTGTTGATGCTGGTGCCTTCACAGCCATCAGAACGCATCTACCTGCTTATTTGACATGGACAGTCTATTTGCCATACACCATAGTCCGGTAGAGTTGGTAAAAACCTATGACAGCCAAAGCTGGCAAGATCACACTGAACTGGGAGCTCTCGTGTGTCGTGAGAGAACAAAAATCACGGTGTCCTTTGTGGGAGGCAAATAGCATCTTCCCTCTTCTGTGACTCTATCTTGTGAAAAAGAAACAAAATGGAAATAAAGAAGGGCCTTATGCACAAAGACATTCCATATGTACTGATGACAGCAAATAACATAGCAGCAGTCATAACAGAAAGGAGAAGAAGAAAATAATATTCAGTAATCACTCACATTTAATCTAGGTAACTGTGCTGTATGTACTAAACCGAATCGCCATCATGCTTTTAAAAGGATGCCTGTGAAGACGAGTAGACACGCTGAAAGGCATGCAACACAACGTCTGGTAAAA